TAGTATGGTGAATTAATTCCAAAATCTCTCTGGAGAAAAAGAAAAAAGTATATGTTTCGATAGATCCTTCATTTTTTTTAACGCATTTTAATGATAAGAAAAGATATGCACTGTGAAATTCGACAATTAAAATGACATTTGTAAAATGGTTAAAACGTCCTTCTCTAGCTGTAGAATTAAGTGAAATTGGAAAGAAAACCGAGACAACAACTGGTCTTCTAGTTGTAAGTTTGGTAGATGTTGGGACTCAATTGCAACACGGTCTTTGTCACATTAACATCGGACTATTAATGCAGAAAGAACCATATACACCGACAGAATTCTACTGAAAGTATCTGGTGATATTACCTGGAAATCTTTCCGTATTCTTGTTTCATAAAAATATCCGACTCAATACTATGACCTCGTGTACTTGATTTTAGCCAGCATTAGATTATATCATATTCGTCCAGAATCGAAGAATTCCGTGATAATTTTGTAACCTTCAATGCATGTATGGTTTATATGTGTGGTTCAATATGTAGTCTAACAGTGTAAATCAGTTTGGACATTATGCATAAACGGATGTTAAATATATATTTTTATGGGACACTCGAAGTTTGATAACACAGAGCATTCGAAACACTTAACTACAAAAAAGTATCTTTAATATACAAAGAAAAAAATAATTTCAGTACCGGAAAAATAATGCAAAGAAAATGATGGTTTCTGTACACATTTCCAAATACTTTTATCCTTGTATCGAGGTATCATAATTTATACTTGTACGATGTTTAACATTCACCTACATTCGAACAATGGCTATCAACTTGCAATAAATGAAAATTAATAAAAAATGATTATACATCAAGCTAATGGTGTTACTAATGTCTTAGTGGCTTGTTTTGTCCGGAATAAAACTTGAGCACTATGTAAGGATGGATTTGTTTCTTGCAAATGACTGATCCAAGCAATTGCAGTTTTTCGATAAAGTTTGCCAAAAACCGAAAGCGCTAGAACTGTTTCATGTTGCTGTTCGTGAATGTTTGGATGTTTTTCATATCTTCTATCCCACTCGCTTTCCCAATTTTCAAAGTCTTCATCCTGAAAAACAACCAGATCAGATTTTCATTAAAAAAAATGGACAAGTCACGCATCGATTAGTGGCTAATTTGATTTTTTTTTCTTAAGTGATGTTTGACCGCAATATAGTAAAATTCCAGAAATACTGCAGTTCGTTTAAATCCAATATTGCCAATCGTGTATTGTAATTTATATTGCAACACTAACACACATAAGAAATTTAATTTACATTAGAAATAAACAATTTTCAGGACGTTACAATATGTCGACATATGTCAAAAAAGATCATTATTACAGAATACTTCAAGACAACTGCTTTTACGAACAACCTAACAACCTAAATTAATTTTACTTAGATTAAACAGAAGCCGTATTTAATCTAAAAATTAATCTTAAGTGACAAAGGTTCTAATATAAAAAAATTCTTACCAAATTATTGTCATCATATTTTTCATAGTAATGAGATTTCGGATTACTAAAGAGACCAACGTACTCAATACAATTATCCATTAAATATACTTTATTAGGTCCATCCACATATAACGTAGTATTTTTTCTCAAACTTTGTAATAATTTCTTCTGAAGATGACTTTGAGCAGACAACAGCCACCTATCAGATTCATTTAACTCTGTATCGTTCATCTGTAAAACTTTACATCTAACAACCTTAATTTCGAATACAATGTTTCCCGAAGAGAAAAATGAACGGCTAAATATGACTTCTATCAAACGATCATTAAAACCCTAACTTTTCAAAAGTTAATTGTTCAAAAAAATAAAAACCCCACTAATGATAGGTTACAATTAACACTGAAAAATTGTAGAAATAGTAAACCAACCTCAACAAGAGTTATTCGTGTACCTGGGTCACGCGATATCATTTTTAACGCTAAATAACCAAAGTCTACAGCACTCAACTTCTTGCCTTGAATTTTTCGACGATCCAAGTAGCCGTTCGAGTGTTTCAACTTCGGCATCCAATACATCATGCGTTTCATCTTTTTCGAGGCATAATTCCATTCACCAAAAGCGTTAACGACTAAATCATGGATTTCTTTATCAGGCTGCACTCCTGTAATGTTTAGAAGCAGTCAAGAAATCATATATATTCTCAGTTTTCACGTTCACATATAGTTCTTATACACATAAAGTTCGAATGGTCACATAAAAGTGCTATCCTGTTAATTTTATATCTCTGAAATGCTATTTCTATGTCAAAATTATTAGGGGTAAAATGTTAGGGAATCTAGGAAAAGTACCAACCAAACCATTCCATTTCGTCGAGAAGTTTAATACAACATATCTGCTGCTGAGGATAATATAAGAATCTTTGCTGAAACTCACAAGATTATAGCAGTTTGATCTCAGATAAGAAGAGAAAATCAGCTAATGCCTCAGAGAGGAACAAGTCCAAACCTGAAAAACATTCGTGGGTATCATTGGCCCCTTCGGAAATATGTTGAGCAAAGCTTTATAAATATCCAAATCCTTTTGTAACCCATATTCTTTCATATATTTCAGAGCGGCATTTATAAATTCAACGTGTCCTCGAGCATGTGTTTGCTTTTTACAAAAATTATCTGAAACAAAAAAACATCGAATTTAACTTAAACATTTACAAATGACACAAAATTTTGCTTCTATCATCTGACCTTAAATAATATAGCAGTGTTAATTTAAGTGACTGAATAGTAGGAAATCATCAACAGTCTAATTTTGAAGCTTAGCTACTACCATCACACGTATCCTACAAAAACTGATTTGTTTTCTTTGTTCTCATATACCACCATCGATATGAAAAACTATGTGACTCTCATTAAAACATTCTAATAAAAGCTTAACTTCTATATAATTAACAATCCGCCATTTTTTATCTGCCATCTTTTATAGATTCTCTTAATGATCGCAATCATTTAAGCTTACCAATAACATTTAGAAAAGTTTGTTTGCTGCGCAATCCAATGCCCACTTCATCAAAACGCTGTTCAGATGGAAGTAACTTTTTTCTAATTGTTTCGTTGCTTTCGGATGCAAAACGATATGCTTGACATACTGGTTTACAACACAACGATATCCCGTAATGTGACACCAACAATTTCACTGCAGCTTTCATTCTAGAAAGAATCAAAGAAAAGTATTTTAACTGATAACAAGAAATTTACTTTTATATAATCGAATATTCTAACAAATGTTAGATCAAAGATAACAACATAGAAAAAATTACTAAATTAATACACTTAAGAAAATTACTAAATTAATACACTTAGGAATCAGCATACCAATATACTCTTTCAGCTGTCGGTATTTCTCAATTATTGAAATGAAATAGGTCTGAACTGAAGAAATAAACTGTAACCTGTTGTTACTGCATAAGTGAAATATCCACTTATTATTTCAAAAAAGGCAACTTAATCCGAGGCATTCTTAACACATCAAACATGAAAATTATTGTCTCTACCGTTTGCGTTGTCGTTGCATGCAACTACTTAAAGTGAAGGTGTGCAAGCGGGGATGTGATGTGTGTCGGTGTGTTTGGGTTACAGTGGGTGCGGTAGTTATGTTGATAAATGGAGAAGTGAAGTGTTTAAAAGGGTTAGATCAATTGGAGCATTAGGTAGGATCAAGAAGGTAAGGTTGTTAGGATTGTATGACATTTGAAATGTTTGAATAAAGAAAGGAATGTTGAAATGGAACTATTGATTATGAGAAATGGTGCAGAAGAGCGAAATAGAAAAGCTTTGTAAATTGTTATGTATAACATAACAATTTACAAAGCTTTCCATTTATTATTATACTACTGACTATAATTATTAAATGTTTAAAGTGTTTATGAGGACGAGATTATATTTATGAGAACATTTTGAAATATCATATGTAATGCAATATTTAATTAGCTTATCTTTACAAAATTATCTTGAATCATTTTTCAGTGTGTTAATTGCTATCATTGGATTTTGCGGAATTAATGGAGGAAATTAAAAAATATTCAAAAATCTTCCAGATTTTACTGCCAATTTATTCTTCTTGAAAATTTCATTCAGCCATTTCATTTCATAGATTGTTTTACGGGCGGTATTGAAAGAGGTAAGCTCTGATAAGGAAAGAGCCAAGAGCATCTTCGAGATGTTGGAGTAAGAGTTCCACGTTAACTGTGATGTACATAAATAATATAAACATGTATTTTTATCCATGATTTATCCACTCTTGGCAATGTGCCAAATAAATATGACCATGATTTTTGTAATGAATTGTTGGATTGATTAATGCTAATTTCACGGGTTGGATTTTAGGATGGATATATGGGTTTTCATCCCTTACACTATTTTCACGCTTTTTATTATTATTAAAATGATGAGATAGATAATAAAATTAATGATGAGATGAGATAAGTAATCATTCTTTAATAACATATGGTTGGACATGCTATAAATTAAATATGCCATAATCGGGTCAGTAAGAAGATATGATCGGGCTTGCGACTGCAAATATGACCGGTTTTGTAAGGGCTTCAATTTCAATTCTAAAAATCATCACAAATATGACTATGAAAGTGAGGAAAGAAGGAATGATAATTCTTGACGTCCAACCAGTAATGAAAGAGGGTAATCCGCTGAGTAGTGTGATTCTGTCACAACCATTTGAGGGGTTCAAACAGTGAGATTCTGTCATAGGCATTTGAAAGGGAGATTCTATCACAAGGATTTAAGGTGCTCAAGCTTTTAATAAATTTAGTAAACATAGCGAATTTTTAATTTTTTTCGAGTTATGGCATTCATCAGAAAGATTTATACGTTGCTGGATGTTGCGTTTAAACAGAGATGAGATTCGGTGTATACTTATACCTATTTCTTTTTTTTTTTCCACTTTTTCTAGATCTCTTTTTGGTTTCTTTCGAAGTGGATTTTGTCAATATTTAAAAAAGCGCCTTCTTGGTAGATATGAAAATCGATCCTAAAACATTACGACCGTGTAGTGCAGAAATTGTAAGTTGAATTTTTTTTGAGACTGTATAATTGTTTCATTTTGGTTTTTTTTTCAGTGTTACAAAAAGGAAAATATCATATGACATATAAGAGTGCTGGTCAGAATAATACTGAATAAAATGTTTTATTCAGATCCTGCCACTGCAGCAAATAGAGTACCCGGTTAAGAGGGTGTGAACTATGATGAACTAGCTCGGATGAATTATATATTCAGCTGAGGACTCATTGGTTAGAAGGATGGGCCGCTTGTAATTAAGCAGTGAAGATAAGCTATGCTGAGAAAGTTATTGAACTTTTCTGGAAAAGATGTCGTTTTTTAGTTTCCTCGATGTATGCAACTTATTGAACATATCAAATCAGCTTCGGATCGGAGAACATTTGTGGAACGACTAACTGAAGTTCATGAATGGCAGCCACAATTTGGGAAGGTAAGGAAGTAAGGAAGTCTTCGTTTTCGTACACTCATCAGTTTTCTATATCAAATTTTGTGTATTAAGAAGCTTGATTTGTATTTTTTATAGTCCGAAATGGCGAGGTGGTCAGATGTTTTGAACATGTGCGATGATGTATTGAAAGATGCCGTAACGTGTAGTTCATCACCGGGTGCAGTGATGGCTATCGACGAAGATCAGACTTTATTAACAGACGTTACATCTGTTCTGTCTTTTACCGCTATGCTTTTCGAGAATACTTTCACCCGTTCAGTCTACAGTTCTACTGACGTTAGTATCACAATTCAATAGTATTTCATCAGCACTTGAGAGTTAGATTATTTTACAAATGAAGCTGAGGAAATTATAATTTTAAAGTTGGATTAAAGTTGTTTTTGTAGTTTCCATGCATCTTTTTCTATAACATAATTTATGAAATTACTGATACAGCTTCCAAGATGTAAGTATTAGGGCTGTCCTGGTTTGTTGAAGACAGTCACACATAGTTTTCTCGAAAGGTGTTCATATCCCGTCTAATCCGTTGTTGGTAATTTTCATTTCGATTTTATTACTTTTGTATGTTATCTTTTAAAACCAGAAATTTCTAGCGGTTGTTAAACTTGTTGGATTCTGGTAATGTAGAGATTGTTGTGGAGACATTGAGATTATTATTGGTTATCAGTAAGCGTTCAAGATTTCTCTCACAACATCTCAGTGATGTCCAGCAGAAAAAACTCACTGTCCGACTTTCTGCTATTGCTCAAGTTTGTTTTTGACAATTCGTAATCTCCTACTGTTAGCTTCTTTTTGAGTACTAAAATTGGAAAATAAAAGATATAAATGTGGAGAGAGAAGTATTTCATCATCTTTTTTGTTTACAGTAGTCTTAATCTAAGTTGTAATCATAGTGCTGGAATGGTAAACTCAGAAGTATGAAGATGGATGAGTGTTGTACTACGAATGTTCGACCTTCCGCTTTGCTACCAATCGGATTTCAGACGGATACGAATAATCTTGTTCGTTCTGTACATGTGAGTTAACCATTCCTTTTAACACGTTACATGTATCTTGAGGTAAAAATTCTTTGGATAAAGAAACTACGAATCCAAGACTCTTTACTGCTCACCAGTGTTTTGTTAATCAGTGATAAAGTGAGACATTAAAGAATTAGCGTCCTTTACAGTGAACAAGCAGTTTTTTTTTTTCAGTTAGATAAAAGTTTTGCGGCTGAACTGGAGCATTTGTTATCTGGTAAAAATATTGAGGAAGATGAACGTGCATCTTTCATAGCTCGCTTACGTCTGGTACGATCTTTCAACACTTCTCGCGGTCGACGTCTTAGTATTATTGCGCGTCTTCTTTCGCTATCTATACTAGGTGCATTTTTTAATATGTTTTATATTTTAACGTTTTGTTCAAAAAAAAATAACAGGACATTAAGCAGTATAACATCCCTTTTTCAGTTTATACTCGTAGTTTAATAGAAGAATGGGCAATGACTACAATGCTTTATGATGGCCTTATTGAAGAAATAACTCGTTTATTACTGATTAATAATACGTCCGAATCAATTATTGATGCTGTTAAAACTGAAGCACTTCGTACACTAACCAGTATTGTTTCACTTGGAAGACCTGCAAAGTATGATGCTTTTCGGACATATTTTTATTTCCTACTGATTTCTCTAAGAAAAAAAAAAAAAAAACAAAAAAAACGAACAAATGGCTGAGGGCGGAAATAGGGGGCGTTCAGTACATTTAATCCATAATGATGGTAGATTTGCCATTAAGACGTGGTTAATGTGGTTAAGAATGCGTGTCTTGTCTACTACAGGTTCGGTATAACTATTTGGTATATTACTAGCTTGTTAGTTAGTGATTGTTGTTGATAATTCGAAGCACATAAACACTTTTCAAATGTAGAATGAAAAAATTATAGATTGAATATAGTAATAGAATCCCTCGGAGTAAATTCATATCACGGTTTTTTGGCTCGAATGACTCGTCAGTGTGTCGACGACTTACGGTGTGGGAGAATTGGAAGTGGGTATACAACCGTACCATTCTGCACTGCCCTATTTTCTTTGCTTTATCATCTTGCTGGCTTTGAAAACGGTTAGTTTTCGTTTCTAGTTAGTTCTCTTTAACATTGTAATACTGATTACTGATATTCGTAGGAGACTGTTTATTGTATGTTGCAGGTGGTGAAGCATTGGTTTCGTGCGCTTTAACGGAGACATTACTGGGTGTGGTATCCTGTGAAACACTGCCTTTAGAACTAATTACTTTTGTGACACGTGCTGTTCGCGTTATCGATATTATGACTTCGTTAGATGCTAATGGTTTTATATCTTGTAATGGGATGAGCACTATTGTTCACCGCTTAATTGTTAGTGTTTAATATGGAGTTTCTGTTAAGTTGAATGGGAATGACAGCATTTAAGTTACTAACCTTTGGTTTGATTTTTACATTGAAATTCTTAATCAGTAACTGGATTATGTGGAATATTTCAAGCTGTATTTGTGTGTAGATGGTATAATCGAAGATCGTATTGATCATTTGCAGTTTTTATAGTTTGATGTCAATATATGCATGAAACATCTGGCAGAACTGAGTATTACTGGACCTACAACAGAACAGTGTCATCAGCAGCGTGCAGCACTAATTAAATCATTGCTGAATTTCATCAAAAGAGCTGTTCAAGATACACAGTTTGCTGATAGTACTCGACATAGTAAGTTTATTATCTGCTTTCTTGAGAATGGGAATTTTGAGTTTCTATGATTCACTGATATACATGTGCATAAATTTATAATCATTGCTAGGCATGATGAAATTTTACGAGATTTCAGTCATGGATAGTGGTTTACCGATTGCTTTAGTGCATATCTTATCGAACTGCGGATTTTTTGGAGCTTCACTGTTTCATAATGGTTAGGATTTCATTGCTTTCTAATGACTGTGTCAGGAACAAATGGTTTGGTCAAGTTGTCATATCATGAGCAAATTTTCAAATCACAGTCGTTCCTTTCATTTATAATAATCTGAAAATATCAAGTCTTGTATAAATTGCTTGAAATGAAATTTCTTTGCTTTCACCGGAATTTATGGATCGTAATATCGATTTGTTTACAGCTGTTTGCTTGATTACAAATTTTATCTATCAAGAACCTTCTTTACTTACGTCCTTGCAAGACAAAGGTGTTACGAATGCTATTCTAAAGACAATATTCCGTGAAGAGGTATGTATTATAAAAATGCGAAGCAGATAATTGTAAAAAATGCTTCACTTTTGCAAATAGTAATGTTATTTTCTGTTTTTAGTTACCCACTTCTCGAGATGTCATCGCTGCGTTGCCGAACACTTTTACCGCTCTTTGTTTGAACGATCGTGGACTGAAAGCTTTTATGAGTGAAAATCCTTTCGATCATTTCTGTGACATCTTCGTGTCGACAAAATACATATACGCTATGAAATGCCGTCGCAACGAAATGAGTAAGTTTTTCACTTTGTTGATTTTACAGATCAGTAAGGCAATTTCGTGATAGCAGTGTCATTGTCGACGGGTACCAGTTTTTAGGGCTGACACTGTTAGCAGTTAGAAATTCTAGTTAACTATCTTTATGGTTAACGTTTATTTTGATATTTGAAAATTTCTCCTTAAAATTTATTTTGTAATTGCAGACGAGGTGGCCTTGAATCTCGGCACATCGTTCGATGCCTTTTTGCGTCATCACCCGACCTTGCGAGAAAGTTTCCTCAATTCGTTTGCAAAGGTTTTTTTTTTTTTCTTCTTTCGAATCTCTTTTTTGATTAATATATCTGAAGAATATAAATTTAGAATGGAATTGTCGCATTTGGCATCACATATCTTCGGTATTTCAGATGTTGAGTAAATTATTGGATGTCGCATCTACGGATTCGCCACGTTGTGTCATGTCTCTTGCATCATGTCGCAGTACTCAAGCAACAATAGCCGTTTCATCAACCTCCCCCAGCCAAGAAGAGGAGAATATCATGGGGGGCAATGTTTCTTCGGATGATGACGATGAAGATCCAACTTCAGCTGTTGCAAATATGTAATATTTTTAAATAAAAATTTAAGGCCTTAAATTTACTTGTAAGTTTTGTAGTTTTTTCACTAAAATTGGCAGCTGTTTTTTTTTCCTTTTAATATGACATTTCCTCACAACGAAAATCAAGAAGAATTCCAAAGAATGTTGTTTATTACATTGGTATTGTTTAGTTAGTAGCTTGATGTAGAATTTCCATATCTCATGTAACTGCGTGGCCATTAGACAGAATCGTTATCGATTACCATTGTTAAATTTAGGGACGAATTGCATACAACTGAAAATGAATGTAATCAGCTGGATCTTGGCCTGTCTTTGTCGATTGTGTGCGACGGAATTCCTCTTATTCCTCTTGGCGAGTATCTATTGAATATCGGAAAATTTCTGGAAACACTGTTAACTCATAATGCATCACCTGAACAGGCTGATGTTTTCGTGCAGTCTGGTACTGCTGATAAATTGCTTTCTTTACTATTTGTTCGACAGATTCCGTTAGAACTGTCGCAGTCACTATTTCCGCAGTTAGTTACGAATATAATACGGTTTCTTTTTGTAAGTTTTTCATGTATTTACCATTATGTGTATAACTTCTTAAGAAATTGTTGATCAGAGGGCAAGTGTTTAATCAGTTCACACAATGTTGGTCTGATAATAACTGCAATATTCAGTGAACGGATTAAACATCATCAGTTCATAAAAAACTGAAAGTAATTATCAACCATTCCATAAATCATCGTGCATATGGTGGATAATAGTGGTTCGAATTTTCAAAATTGGATTTTATCTTTTTTAAAACTGTGGATATGGATTTCTTGTTTTTTCTCTCATCACTTTTCAGTTAAGATTACAATGAAATGTCTGGTGAATTTTGGGATAAAAGTTTATGAATGCTTCAAAAAAAAAAAAAAAAAAGTTAAAACCGCTAGTCATTGTTTGCATATTTATTACACCATTTTACAGCAACATACAAGAAGTAGTGATGTAATGGATATGGTTGCGAATCGACTGAATAAATTTTGTCTGGATATGTTAAGTTCGTGTAACACGAATGAAGATTCGTCAAAGCTATCGTTGCTTGCGATGAGTTCGTCAGAGGCTTCATTGGCAAACATTTGTGCAATTTCAGTTTTCTGTTCTGTTCTCAGCAGCTTATCAAAAGCTGCTTTAGGAAGTAACACAGCCACTAAAACAGCAGTTCTCAGATTTTGGACAAACGAAGGTTGTAGACTTCTCGCTTCCTGTAACCATGCTCAGAGGTGAACTTTTAAATTACTGTTTCGCTTTGCATCATGGAAACTAATGGAATCACCAGAAGAAGTTTTGTTCTTTTTCAGAATAGTTGTTTGGGAAAGTGCGGTTTTGCAAATATTTAATGCAACAAACAAATGCGTAGCTTCCACGCAAACGGATGATGTTCAAACAAGTGAACCAACAGAAGAAACTAATATAACTTTGCAAGAAGATTCAGTTGGAGCAGATAGTGTGCCACAGCGCATTGGTCGACCGAAATATCTGCGTAAGCAAACATTTGAAAATGAATTCACTATTAGATTTGTCTTTGAAAGTTTTATTTTGTAGGTTCGGTTACAAAAATTCAAAATAACTCAAATTTTTATAGACAAATTAGGGAATTTTTTTCTTTCTGAGAGAAGATAGTTGGAACAAAACTTAGCCAGTAACTTGATAGGGGAGTTTTAAATCCACCCAAAAATTTCTTGCAGTAAAGTGCTGCTAATCGTAAAATCTTACCGACAATTCGGGAAGAGTTTTTAAAGTTGTGCTAATACAGTTGTCTTCTTAGTTGATGATTACTGGCTTCGTTCAAAATCGGGAACCAGTGCTCTGAATCGCTGTAATCGGCACTGTACGGAATTGTTGTCAATGCTTGTCAAAATTTCTATCGGTGGAATGACCAGAACGAGAAGAATTCAGGAAAATGAGGGTGGTACACCATGTGAAAATGCTGTGCAGCTAGCTCTGCAAATAATGAAAGGTTTCCAGCAAGCTCTGGAGTGGAAACCTCACGATGAAACTGACCCAGCTATAATGTTAGTTTCTTTATTTTTTTATTTTGTAAGAAAATGAATTATTGGCCAAAATTAAGGGAAGTTCCAATTACTGCTTCCTCTTTTTTTTAAGGTTACCCTACTTGGCAATTTGGATCAACAATCTCAGCAACATTCTATTTGATGAACGGAAGATTCCTTATCATTTGATGCTTTCCGCCTTTTATCGTACCGGTACTCATGATACATTTTTTAACATTATCTCAAATTACTTCGCACCTGATCGAGATCAGAATTATTGCGGTATGTAATTTAAATCGTATTAATATGTTGTTATTGACTGTATTTTTTATTTAGTAGCCCATGTTCAGGAACAGGTATCATTTTATTGGTACTTATATATGATTATCCTTATTTGTAGCCGAAGTTAAAATTTTGCAGATGAGCCGTATTTTGCAAACTTGTATCTGACTAAACTAATTTTTTTTTTTTTTTTTTTTGAATAGAAGTGGGGCAGTTGTTACAAGCCTGGTTATCTTTAACGGAGCGATTGGTCAGTGCACACCTATTCCGTCACTCACGCTATAAAATGTCGGAAAGACTTGCGGAAGCCAAACGTTTCCCAACCGAGAAATATCTTGCAAAATGCCAACAGGTTTTGCATCTTTTTTTTTATCCTATGAGATTTCGGTTTTTCGAAATATTACTCAAATTTTAATGAATCTTTTAACTCTTCAGGATGCTTTTCGGCAATCCAATGTTGTTTTCGGGGTGTTGTCTGCATTACCCTTAAGCGAAGCCGTTAGTTTTAACATCTGTGATATGATTATTTCGATATATCGAGAAATAGTCAAAGGAATTGTGCCTTTGACCGAAAAACAAAAACAAGCTGTGGTAACAACGTCTGAAGATCGCAAGAAGTACTTTTTCAGTCTCCTTTTTGGTTTGCAGGAGTTTTCAGTAATACGGAGCTATTTCAGTCAGTTGTAGGATGGTGTGTTAAAACGAAGGCATTAATTCGACAATCTCTGAAATGACTTCTTTTTAGGATGGAAGCAGAACTTGATGGAGCGAGTATTGGTCTCTTAGTTGACATGGGATTCGATCGTGATGCTGCTGTTGATGCACTGTTGGAATATTCAACCGTTCCTGAGGCTGCCGAATATCTGATCGCAACTGACAGCTTAGGCAGACTTCGTCAGTCGTCAACTGATGAAAGGATAGATACTGATGAAGTTAGCCACCAAACTTTATTTCAAATGTTAACAAAAACAGTTTTATTAATGTGAAACTCCTTTAAAAAAGAAATAAATTTTTTGCTTAGACCGATGCAGAAGATGGAAGTGGCCAAAATGGTGATTTGAATGTGGAATTCGAAGATGTTCTTTTGAAGGAACCGATTTCCTTGAACGAAGTACCTTCTCTCGACACCCGCCTAATATTATCCAGCCTATGTAAAGATGTACGCTTTTGTTATTGTGCTCGTTTAAACGTAGTGTTTCAGCATTGAAGGCATCAGTTTCGGTTTAAAGCAATTGGTGATTTTGAACAATCTTTCAGAGAATTCTGGGGATGGAAATAACTGAAGAAATGCCATTTTTTTTTTTTTTTTTTTGACTGTTTTTACGTTTCTCCCACAGATTTATGCTTTTTGCCTTTAGGAAATCATTGTATCATATTGGATCATTCTTCTACAGAGCTAGTAAACTTTGTTTATTTTTATGTTTCTGTTTGATAAATTCCTTTCAATGCCATAAATTACAGTCATTTAAGTTTGTCACATTAGAAATCAAGAGTTTTCGAAATGGATTTTATCATTCAAAAAGATGGAAAGTTGTGGTTTTACAGGTCATTCCAATTCTTTTGAATTTGATGGAACATGGAGCAGAACTAGTGTTCAGTACCTCGGAAGTTATGTTGGTAATCTTGAATGAAGTAGACGATGATTGGAGAAAAAATATGCTTATTGGTGAATATTTGGTACAGGATATCCTTCTGATGGTGGACGAACTGCGCTGTGACGAGGTTAGGAAAATTAATGATGCTGGATGTTGCTGAAATACTCTTATAAACTGGCTACATTTTTGATAGTTGAGTTTGTAAAATATTAGAGAATAAGATTAACACATATTATATATATATATATATAAAACAAGAGGCCAAAATAGTGTAATACACTGCTTTTAATCGAAGTTATGGTACGAAGTTATTCATTGCAATGATTAGAGTTTTTCTGCTATCGATTTATTAAACAAAATCCGAGCAAATTTTAGACTGACGAGAAAGTAGTTATCTCGCTTTCAACTCGTTTGCATTTCGTGTGTTTGCTGTGGCCTGGGATTGCTACTACTTATATGGATGTCTGCACAGAATATCGCCTTCATAGTGTTTTAATTTCTGTGCTTGACATGGTTGTCATACACTGTTCAAAGAGACCTGCATTTATTAGGTGAGCTGAGTTGTATTTATAGAATTTACCCTATGCAATGGCGAATTTGCCCTATATAATGCTGTTTTATTTTGTTTTCGTTATTACTTTTTTTGTTTCACTCAGAATTTATAGATATGATATCCCATCTTTTGCGCATTTCAGGCTTATTGCACCAATATGTTTATGGCTCGATCTCTATGATAAAATGTTGAAGCTATTGGATAGCAAGGATAAAGTTGAAAAGGTAATTATAAATTTTGAAAACAGTAATATTGCGTTTCTCTTTTTTCTCACTTTCTCTGGTTTAAGGCTGTTGAGTCGTATGCGTGGAAGTATTGGGATACTGATGAAAGAGGTGGTGTATATACTTGGATTAATTATCCTCCCGCGGCCTCGCATACACTCACAAATGCATTTCTTGCTGGTCGCAGGAATTGTAACATAAGCGTAGGAGGCCGCCAATACACTGTTGATTTTCCGTCAATGAGCCATCGTAATGCTGAATCTCACATCGAACGACCGATTACAATTTCTGGTCGCTTGAAGGATGGTGCTATATTGTCCGAAATACTTGCTGAGGTTTTTTTGCAAGCTATTATTTTTAAATACTGGGAGACAAAATTATTTGAACTGAATCTTGAACTTTCTCATGGATTGGATTAATTGATCGTATTTATCGTGCTGTTCCATCATCACTGATGATTGGTAAGCTTTTTGAATAATGTTAATTTTTTCATATTTTTCCTTATTTATTTACAATAAACACATTTAGGGTAACGAGCATAAAGAATGGGATGAGGTGGTACATGACAGGCTCGTACCAGCTATCATTGGCCTTCTTGGCTTAGCAAATATAGATGCAGCTTCGATCCATGCAATTTTTATTTTGGCTGCACGTATTACAAGAGATTTTAAAATTGCGAGGGAGTTTTTACAGGTTGTATGATATTTTTTTAAGCTTCATACTACGGCTTTATAATTTTGCTATGAAGAATTCTGACATATAGCGTAGTCGTAATGTCCTGGCCAATGGTTTTCGTAGACAAATGCTTATGGTTCTTTTCTGATCAGGATAGGAAGATCTTTCAATGCCATGATTTAGATCCTTGATGGTTTAGACTTACTGCAGTGGTAATCTAATGTAGTTGCTTTAGGAATAGTTTCATCACAACATCCAGAAAATGGTTGAAATGAACAGTTTTATTGATTAGGGTAGATTTTCCCAAATTTGTGAAGGCATACATCTTACTGAGTTTTTTCAGCAAGGGGGCGTACAAACAATGATAAATGTGTCGGGTGCCGCAGTGCCATCGTCAGCTGTTCTTGGGGCCCTTATTATTCGTCACTGTCTTGACGATGAAATTTCGGTAAGACAGATTTTCGAGAAAACAGTGCGTACAATTGCTGCAGGTGGCTATACCATCAGTCCACCTTTAACAAGATGGAATCATATTAGGCGAGTTTATTGTTTTGGCATGATCTCTTTTTTTTAAAACATAGTGTTTTTTATAGGTTATGAAGCGTACTATTGCTTTAATGAGAGACATTCTTGTTAATGAAATTGTGCTTTTTGTGCTTAATTTGAAACTTTAGGACACCACGAACAACTCGTGACTGGTTACATGCTATACGCGCTCTTTCTCCGCTGTGTGCACGCCATCCGCAGATTTTTGCTGCTACTATGGAACGTGTTACGCGAAAACAGAACGGTCAAATAACTGTTTTACCGATGACTCCCGTTGATCCATCTTGTAAGCAGTGGACTGCATGCTCACCTATTAAACAGGTATTGTTATTGTCAGTTATTTATGGATAGCGTTGTTTTGTTCTAATGATTCTTTATGAATTAACGCTGTTGGTGTAAATATTTTCATTCTTAAAAAGCGAAAACAGATGCTTGTTGCTAAAAAGACAAACGGTTGCCCTCTCCTCTCATTTTCATTTCCCATAAAGAGTTGAAGTTATACCATATTTGAATGAACCCTGTGATCAGGCTCGCATTTTGAATGGAAGCATTCCATGCAGTTGTAAAACTAAATGATAATTACAATTTTGTCAGGTGTTGACGCATTTGTTGAATCACACGTTGGACTTTTCATGGGAGGATTCGAATAGAGTGGTAAATCGTGCATCACTTGTACGATTGATTGCTGAGTTGGCGAAGAGCTACAGTATTGTAGCAACATTAGTTGCTGAATCACATGACCTTAATGGACAACCTTTTATGGTATCGATCCTAGATAAATGTATTATCCCAAGTGGTTCTCCCACCGCTGATGGTAGTCTTTATATGGCTGTGAAGACCTTTGTAGCTGCAATCGCTTCGTGCAATCATTCGCCAAAAGTATGTATATTTTATTGAACATAATACATGTATATTGCTTATTCGAAAATATGTTTAATTCTCTTCTTTTTGAGTATTTGAAGAAATTCGAAATCTAATAAATTATTCTTTCAGGCTCAGGAAACTTTGATCTCAAGCATTATTTCTTCTCTTCATATTGTTTTCTGTGAAGCTAATTCAAAAGCAGCATGCACTAAGGTAAATAATAAACAAAATACATTAAAATTCTTGAGTATCTTATTGATATTATAAATCTTAGAATTCAAAACAAGTCATGATACAATTGCGGAAAAAAGGGATTAAACTGAAAAGTAGTATGATATGGTTGGTAAATGCAGATGTAAAGTATAATTTTTTTATTTTTAGTTAAGGTTATTAGCGGATCTATTTTTGTTGGCACGTGATGCATGTCCAGCAGGACCGCAAGATATGCGCAATAACACAAATTCAAATGCAGTTTTGCGTCTAATTATAAAGAAACGTGTTTGTATTGAACTGAGTAGAGTGCCATGGTATTTGAATTTATCAGCGAAAGAAGGTATCGAGACTTTAAACTACGTCCTGCGAGTTTTGGAAGAGTTGACGCGTACAATCAACAGGTTTTTTCAAATTTCGTAGTTAATTCTGTGACCATAAGATATTTATCGTGTATTGTGCTGATATCGATTCTTTTCGCGAAAAAGAATTAGATCATGAAGTCGGCTCTTCTGTTTGTACTTCCCATATTAATTTTCATCATTAAGGTCCTTACAACTTCTATCATTTGTATATCTGTAGAAAATTTACTTCCGATTTACAGTAACCATTCTGCACAAAATGCAGTAAGAGAAAATATGTCCGAATCACTATCAGTGACTCAGAATGCGTCAGCATCCGTAACGCTAGTTGCAACATCGGAAAACGATGCATCAGTCACAGTAACAGCGCGCGAGGGTGAACATTCCCAAGATAATCAACATGTCGAGGACAGCAGTAGCACTGCTGATGAACATCGTTTTGAGACCCATGAGGTACTAATACTCTCTATGGTTGTTATTTTAATTTGTTGAAACAAATGTATCATTGGAAACAAACTTCTAGTTTTTTACTCTTCGATATGACTTTGACCGTATATAATTATAACGGAATATTTCAGATCAAGACTCATTGTGATAGTTATAAAATCAGTTTATGTCTTCTATTTTTATAGTCTTGAAAGGGAAGCAGAGAATTTTGGGGGCATCAAATGAATATATGATGTCCGCGTGGATTAGTTCCAGGTAACGGTTGAACGAAATAGACCTGATGATGATGATTATTGTGCGGACGACGATGGGAATCGTGGTCGTACTAGACATCCGGATGCTGTTGAAGATTCAAGTGAAAGTGAGGAAGACGAAGATGATGTAGACGACGATGATGATGTAATTATATTTTGTTTTATTAAATATTAGACTTTTATATCTAGAAATTTATGAAAATTAAGTCATTTGAGTAGAGATTTATGTCTCCAGCTGATATATAATGAACACAGTTTGGCAGTGTACTTGGATTCTAGTATTAAAGAGCTTTTTGTAGGATGAAGGTGCTGGTCTTAATGAAATGGACGTGGATGATGAATCGGATGATGAACATGACGATGTAATGGAAGGTTCGTTGTCTGTATTGTATTTTCTTAGGAATTGATCTTACGCATTTACACTCTTGTCTCATGATTTCTTCAATATAAGTAGGGATCACACAATAAGGTAGCGAACATTTCTCACATGAGAATCTATGAACGAACTGCACCCCAAAGGAAGTTGGATTGCATGTAAATGTTTTGATCGTTTTGTCCAGTAAAGTTTGGGTTTCTTTAATTTTAGAAGAAGGACGCGTGAGTGTCGAAGAAGAAGACGATTTTGGGATGGTAGAAATAGAACCGGGAGCATTAAGTCGTTTTACTTTAGTCGACAGTGTAGATGATTCTGGACCCGCAGACCGATTTGAAGATGGCGATTCTGAGGAAAATTTTGTCAATACAAATATATTTGTTGAAAATTTGGATGATATTGATGCTCTTACAAATGGTGCATTCACGGGTGCTCGCCTTTTTGTAAATACTAGTAAGCATTTTCTCTACTAACCCTGTGAGAAACTTCAAGAAATGCCTGTTCGTAAATTCATTCTAAAACAAAATTTCTAGGTATGGAAGCTGCACATGCTGATCGATCGTTGGCTACAGTTAGTTCTGTGCATCCGTTATTACAAAGATCATCACAGACCACTGGTAGTGATAGCGTTATAGGTCAAAGACCTACGGCAAGTTTTCTCCAACATTTATAAAGAAACTGTAGAAGTTTTCTGTACAAGGTTTTTTATGTGCTATTTCTATACCAAAGGTAATGAGCTTTTGTAACAAAACTGAAATATTCATGTTAAAAAACTTTTCAGAGTTATCGCCTTCTGGTTGGTCAACGTCGTGGAACTGGAAGTATGGCTTCAACAGGGTTGCATCGACAGAATGCGGTACGGCGTTGGACAACATTCGGCACACAGAGTGAATTCATTGAACGACTGCTTGATGGTTCTACAACAGCTAACGGCAGTCATCTTTTTGACGTCGCTCCATCGCGTCAACGCTTCTTGAATGTTGTTGTAAGCTACCTTAAGTTTTACTTATGACATATCCTATGACATTTATGAAATGTTGAAATAACATTTGTATCTCCTGATGATATATTCATTGTTGAACTTTCACCAATAGTTAGATCATATGAACTGTTCTAGTACTTATTGCTGATCATTTTATTCTAGAATTCGCGATGTAATGAAAGTAATTTCCAGTATGCTAAGTTAGCTTTAGCTTTTTTTCTTCAGATGCAAGACCACGGATTGGATAGTACAACTACAGTTACCGGTGAAGAGCGACGGCAAACATCCGTTCCACTTCCTCTGGAACGATTTTCAGATGCTGCAAGGATAATTGATGGTCATGCTCATTTGTACTTGTGGGTTATGGTCGCGTCTTATATTACCAGTGTTATGGATGCTATTGAAAAGGTAGTTATTTGCTTTAAAGTATTATATGTCCTTTTTCATAGTTTCTAAATAATGAGCGAGTAGGAAAATCGAATATTTAAGATTATGGTGTGCTTGCGAAGTCTTAAGAGCATTTCGCAACTTTTTAATTCCAACAAATTTTTTATAGGACGAAAATGAGAAGAAAACAGAAGAAGAAATAATGAAAACTCAGAAGGATTTTACGGAGGAATCTTCGAAGAGAACTCTAGATGATGTGACATCAAATGAAAGTAGCAGTACTACACGGCTGTTTATTGATGAGGAAGAGCATGGAGTTTGTTTCAACATTATTTGTATATTTTTCATGTGACTATCGCATGCCTGACACCATCCAGTTATGCTTCATTTTTAATTGAGAAAAACTGATTAAGCTTTTGTGTGGAGCCGTTAAATCCTGCAGTAAAAACACAGATATAATTAACAGTGGCAATAAGGAGTGGCAGTATGCGAAAAGGGTGAATCAGTTTGCACTATACTGTCTGATTTTGTATTTTAAAATGAAAATTTCATTGAAAATTCAGGATGTTGGAAACGTTGATGATAATGTTGCTGATGCACAACTAGAATATTCATCAGAATCTGTCGATATAACAGTCCAAACGCCTAGTGTTTCAGAACCCATGGACCAGTCAGGTTGTTTTATGGTTTAGATTTTTTCTTGTGTGAGTCTAGTTTACCTCTATTTATTCTAGGTACTTTATATTATGATACTTCCGAAAGTCTTGAAAATCAAATTCATCGAAGTTGTGAACAGGAGCAGGGAAATACTACTTCGAATGTAAACAGTGAAATTTCAACAGATGCATCAGTACATACAGTACTAGTTACTGCAAATGAAGCTGAAGAACAAGGTAAATGCAAAGTATTTTTTATTCATTTCTATCTTTCATAGAGGAAATGTCGAAGTACTACTTGCAGGTTTTGAATTTGAATTATTCAACCTATTTCGAAAAATTATACTTGCCAAAAAAAAAACTTGGGCGAAAGGAAAAGAGCGCTCGACATCCTTAGCTTCAACTTTCTCTGTTACTGAAGATGTTTTAGGAAATATAGAACAACTAAGTGCACCCGAAGTTACACCAGAAGTTCCACTTGCTAATCAAGATGATTTCAGAGAAATATTAGGAGGTAATAAATTTTTCAGTTCTTTATGTAGTTTGAATAGACAAGCATATAAAGCAGTTTGTCTCATTTTTTTAGTATGTTATCTCAAATTTAGTACCCATAAATTTCTTTCTTTATTTAGATATTGAAATTCCTGAAGGCGTAGATCCTGCGTTTTTGGCAGCCTTACCAGAAGACATACGTACGGAAGTGATTCGAGATCATATCAGACAACAGCGTTCACAGCGTTTGATACAAACTTCTGCAAACTTAGAAGCAGCTAGTCAGGCAAATGGTGAAGTACCTGTAGTTGAACCACTTGATCAGGAATTTTTAAATGCACTCCCACCGGATCTTCAGGAAGAGATTTTGGCACAGCATGAGAGGACTGTGAGATTAGCTCAGGAAAGAGTGGAAAGTAATAGTGCACCGACGGCTGGTTAGTTTTTTTAATATGTCTGTAATGATAGTTACTCTAATTGTATCAGGGGTTTTTTTCCTTTTTCATTTAGGTTCATTTTAGACGCTCCGGTTGCTACAGATGATGCAGCTGCATTAATTGAATCGCTTCCACCAACTCTGCGAGCACAAGTACTTGCTGATGCAGATGATACGGTCTTGCAAGTTTTGCCCCAGAATGTTGCGGCTGAAGCGCGACGTTTGCGAGCATCTTATGAAGCACAGGCATTGTTTTAAATCACTAATTGTATGACTCCATTCCTAATCTCCTGGATAATCTCAGTTGTAATTATTGGCAATTTCAGCAAGTTATGCGTTTTGCCCGTATGTTAACGCCAACTCAACGCTTTCGCCCTGCAAATGGTCGGTCAGTCCCTGGAACAAGTACTAGCAGTACTCCTGTAGGCGCACTTGCTGGAGTTACTACACTTGCTTCGAAGAATGCTACACAATTATTGGATCGTGATGCCATTGTTACATTATTACTTCTTTTTTTCATCGATCCAGTCCGTCTTAATACTCAACGTTTGCAGGTTATCTGTTCTTGCTTTTATTTTTGCTCGGATTATACAACATGTTAGCAAAATGATGAATGATTGGTGGTGTCGTTAAAGTAATCGTATTAAGCTTTTGGACTAGATGAAACTTTATAAGAATCATCGTACTTGAAAAAGGCATTCTTAATTCATTTCAGAAGCTCATTAAAAGTCTTTGCGCACAAAATGTAACATGTGATTTCGTGATCTGGTGCTTAATTGCTCTGCTTGACAAAGTAGACGAAGAAGCTGTTCAGTATGAGGATTTTGGTGGTACAGTGTCCGGTTGGTTAGATCAAATATGCGTATACAGCGGTATTGGACAACATGAACAAGCAATCAAATTCTTCAAGAGTACTCATATAGGTAGAAGTTTAGATATGTTCCAAAAAATGCTGATTTATATAGATTAAGAAATTCAGTGTGCATAATTATAGTGAAGCTGAGTATGGGTAAATGACTGATGAATCTGAATTGTTGCAGTTCATTTTGAGTTCTGTGTGAAATTCTTAATGCGTTGTACTTGCAGTGGCGTTACATCCGGCAGTCTTAGCAACGGTCTGTCGTCTTGTACTAGATACACTAATCAGTCTTGCAAAAACTTATCCGGGTCATTTTCTTCCTGCGAACCTACGTGATCCAGGTTATCTCTCCAATGCGGGGTTGTTTACGCCACCATTCTCACAGTTTTGGGCTATTGTTCATAGGTACGCTGTTGTGAAGCTGATTATTTGTTTTTTTATTTTTGTAAGTCGGAAAAGTTAGAGAACCATTCTGTAGTTTTCATTACATAAGTACATTTTAAATTTAAATTCGCTATCGATTCTGCAAACTTCATTTGATTACTATGTAGTACTGATACAGTCAGAAAAGTTCTCGTTAAATCTGAAGAGAATTTGGAGGACTTGTCGACATTTGTTAAATTGTTTCCTTAAAATTTTTAGCTTGTCGAAAGCTGATGTGTTATCCCGTGCTACACATCGACATGGCCTATCATTAGAGACAGCTTTGGGACCAGGTGGCCTTAATGCAAGTATGGCTGCTTTCTCACTTGAAGATAGTGCTATCGGTGTACTTATGGAGCATATTAAGCGTCCAGTTATTCTCTCATCGTCAATATTGCAGGATAAATTGCTTCGCCTTATATGCACGGTCAGCCATTTGTTATTTTTGTTTGGTTTTATGACCAGATAACTTGGCTTAACCAACTTCTTGGATTTTATAGTACAGGGCTGGTTCATATTTCTTATCCAGGATTCTCAGAATTTATCATTTTTAGATTGTCCAAACTTTGCCAGAGGAAACCATCACGAAATTGGCGATTGATTCGACTGCGGAAAAACCTCCACTTAGCCAGCAACTCGAACATATTGTTTTAGTCCGTTTTAGCTCTTGTCTTTCGACTGCATGTATTGTGATAGTTTATGGTAATTTGAGTTTTCAGGTCTTGACAGAAGGTGATTGTTCAGAAGAAGGATTAGCAGATGGACGTACCTTGCTATTGGAATTGATTCGTGCTCTTACTCCATCTACGAAAACCTTTATAATGTCTCTCCTTATAAATGCTGCTGAACGCCTAGGAGCCCGACTTTTGCCACATGTCGAGAAACTTGAAGAAGAGCTGAAAGAGCTACCTAACGACGGGAACCCTTCATCATCGATTGATCAACAACCATCGGGCTCGAAAGTTGCAGTTAATCGGTTAGGCTTACAAATCAGCATCTCAGAAAGAAGCAGCAATTCTTTGCCGTTTTTGGATGCCTAAGATAGCCCTGATCTGAGGTCATAAACCAATATGTTTTGGTTCGAAAAAAAAAATATAATTTGCTCTTAACTTTGCAGGTTTCCTGTTTTTTGACAGCATAAATTTTCATTACAGTTATGACGAATCGGTGATTGTGATCAGTGGAATTTTGAATTCGCGAGCGGTCATGAATGCATCTGGCTGTTACGAACTGCAATTACCAGCAATGAAAGCACTTACTGACAAAAGTGGAATCCAGAATATATTTCTAAGAACACTGCAGACAATTATCAAAATAAGAGAAGTGCTGCAATCACATGCAAGGTGTATTGAGATTGATGTGAGTACTGACACTGCAGGTGAGCAGGACGACGAACGTGGAACGGGAGAAAACACCGCAAATGCAACCGAAGAATATGAAAGGAAAAGATTTGCCGAGGTGAGGCGTATAACTTCAGTTCTATTTTTTTTTTTTTTGAGCTCACTTTATCTAATCATGCACAATGTAGTATTGACATTAAAAAGCTTTACTCTATTTTACATTTATCTGAATTGGAATGAAATCTTTTTTCTTTTTTTTTGTTGTTAGATCCACAATATATCTGTAAGGAGTGCAACATTTCTGGATACGCTATTTGGAGATGTTCTGTTTGCTGTATTTATCTCCTATGTTTTAGAAAGAAGAAAGCATGAGTGTATTATTAAATACGTTAGAACCGTTATGGGAACTTGTATCAAGATGTCTGAAACGTCTTACAAATGCAGATGCACATGCAGCTTTAGCTCTTCAACCAAGTGCGGAAGCTTTTTTTCTGGTATACGGATCAGAATTGTCTTCTGCTGATCCAAGTAAACTTCATGACCATCCGGATGCTCAAAAACTTCTTCATTTCGCAGGTCTACTTTTACCCATGTGCAAGTTATCTGTCCTGAAGAGCCTAATTCTGAGATTTGGCGTATATTATTTTCTCTTTGAACATCGTCTTTTTGTGCTTTTTACTCTGGTTCCACCTTTACTTTTCAACTCCGAAGAGAACTGTGGGAAGGAGTTTTATTGAATGTCCATGAGATTTCAGCGAACATTTAGTCAATTTTGGTATTTAGTCATTCGCATTATGAGCGGTTATTTTCAGAGAAGCACCGGAATATGTTGAATCAGGTTCTTAGGCAAAATGGTGGTGGGTTAACGGATGGTCCATTCGCAGTGCTAACTCAGATGCCGAAATTACTGGATTTTGATGTTAAGCGTATCTACTTTCGGAAACAGATGCAAAAAATCGATGAACGTGTTAGGTTTGCGTCTCAATTCAACATTCAATAACATTAGTTTTGATTTGCTAGTATGTGTATGAAATTGGTATTCACTCCACATAGTGATTTCAAGATGATTTTATTACCAGTGTTCCTTACAGAGGTGAAGACGTAGCGGTGAGGATTCGTCGCAGTCACTTATTCAGTGATAGTTTCCGTGAGTTATTCAGACTGCGTGGTCCGGAGTGGAAGGCGAGATTTTATATCATATTCGAGGGTGAAGAAGGACAAGATGCTGGTGGATTGCTACGTGAATGGTTTTCAATTATTACAAGAGAGATTTTCAATCCCAATTATGCACTGTTTATAACTTCTCCAGGGGATCGTGTAACATACATGATAAATAAATCTTCGTATATTAATCCGGAACATTTGGAATATTTCAAGGTTTTTCATTTTATAATTGCAGTTTCAATTTGATCCCAAGAAAAACGTTTTGTGATTTATTCTTCAATTACTACCTTTACTTCGATACGCTGCTAGATTGTTCACTTTTTTATATTACCGTAGTCGTCTTTTTCAGTTTGTTGGAAGAATAATAGCAAAGGCAATTTATGAGAATAAATTACTGGAATGCTATTTTACCCGAGCATTTTATAAGCACATTTTAAGTGTTCCTGTTCGAGCACAGGATTTAGAATCTGAGGTATTGTTATCTTCTTTCGTTTAACAGATGACGAGATGGGAATAGGTATCTTTTTTAAGATTGATGCGTGGGATGGTTGAATATTGGGGAGAGAGAAGAAAACGAGAGAGCTAAGCGTTGCTTTGAGAAGTTTATTACTCTAAAATATTGGTAAGCGAAAATCAGTAAATGTATTTTTCAGGATCCTAGTTTCTACAAGTCATTGGAATTCTTGCTCAATAATCCAATCGAAGATCTTGGTACTGAACTTACGTTTAGTTTAGAAGTTGAAGAATTTGGAGTTAGAAAAATGCGTATGCTGAAAGAAAATGGGTCATCAGTTCCAGTTACTGATGGAAATAAAGAAGAATATGTAAAGCTCGTTTGTCAGATGAAAATGACTGGTTTGTGTTGTTTTCACAAATTTAGTCTTAATATTTATTAGTGCTAGCATTGATGCTTCAATTACTATTAGTATTTGTGAGATAACGCAGGCAAATAAAATTTTAAACAGTTAAAAGTTTTGTAAGATGACGTGTGTCGATTATTTTTATAGGTTCCATTAATCAGCAGTTGAATGCATTTTTGGAAGGCTTTTACGAAATAATTCCGAAGCATCTAATATCAATTTTTAATGAGCAAGAATTAGAATTGTTGATAAGTGGACTTCCAAATGTTGATATCGATGATCTCTATGCAAATACAGAATACAAGACGTACACGAAATCCTCGTCTCAGGTAAATTGCTGTTTTTCGATTGTCTGAGTTCTTTTACTGGTGAGAACTAATTAGTTCAGGAATATAAAAATAGTAATGTGCTGTTGTGAGCAAGTGAGATCAAACAGGGATCACAGGAGGCCATTAGATTTACCAAAATGTTATATATGCAGATAGCGCACATTATTAATCTGATCTACTCTTGTTATGCATAATGTTTTATTGTAGATACAGTGGTTCTGGAAAGCATTACGTTCATTTGAACAGGAAGATCGTGCAAAGTTTCTACAGTTCGTTACTGGTACAAGCAAAGTTCCCTTACAAGGTTTCGCTGCACTTGAGGGCATGAATGGTACACAGAAATTTTCTATTCATTTGGATTCGCGATCTTCAGATCGATTACCAACAGCACATACATGGTATTGATATTTTTATTAAACAATTGAAACATTTTTGCGAATTTCTATTATCTTTTTTTTTAGTTTTCTAGATCGTATTAAATCAATTCGTATCATATTTAAGTCATTGTTACAGTTTCAATCAGTTGGATCTTCCTCAATATGAAACATATGACAAGCTTCGGGATATGTTATTACTAGCAGTACGTGAATGTACCGAAGGATTTGGTTTTGCTTAAGACGATAACTATGACTGTTTATTAAAAATATCTGTCTTCCTCACTGTATTGATGTCTTTCTGCTATGATCACCTGTTATCTGATTTCATGATCCATAAATCTTTTTTAGAATGGTATATCTTCCTGCTTTTTTTTCTATATCCGAATATTATGGAAATAATAGATTGGTATAAAGACAGTAATTGCATTATCGCACGCATCCTTTTTATGTCCAATCTCTTACAAACTAAAGTGTTGTTGTGTATAAGAAATGACGATTCCATGATTTTATTGTGTTGTGCGTTTTTTCTAGGTCTGCCTTTCCGCCATTATGCAGATTTTTGCAAATTTCAGTTTTTTAATTGTTCGTGTGATTGCTTTTGGCACCGTGCAGGGGATTCCACTGTCTTATCACGTTTTATCTGTGTGTGCGTGTGTTTAAATTTCGGACTGTATATATACCTCGTTTAGAGTGGTGGTAAAAAGAGCCTGAATGTTGGTGCCTTTTCTAAAAGAAATGTATGTGCATAATTGACTCCATGTTCCTTTTAATTCATTTATGGTTATCCTCTTTTGTTTTTTGCTAAGAATATAGGGATAGTGATGCTAAAGCTGATGGATATTGGACATGTTGGATATGTATTCAAGCAGTGCTACTGATGCTTTGAGTATGTAATGAAAAGGATGATGTTGAATTGATTGGATTGTTTCCGAACGTATGCCTTCATGTTTATATTGACTCTTGACAATTTTTATACGTTATGTTTTTTGAGAAACGTTGATATGCATTAAAAAGAGGAGACTTTCTTTTCGTGTGAATTTTAAAAGTAAAGAAATTATTGAACTTGTAATTATATTCATCAAAGATAATTGCCATTTTTCTTGTACCAGTACACTTCATTCCCATTGAAGGATTATGCAACGCTATATTATTTCCCCTCCGCCAGTTTGTTTTGATAATGGGTTTACATCTCATTTGCTTTCGATTTGTTGAATTTAGGATGATGCAGGATAGGGACGTAGCGTGTTACTTGTTGGGTTCATCTTAGAACATTACATTTCACTGAGATTAGACGAAGATATATGGACTTCCAGGTGGTGTACAATATAGTTACCCTAATCTGCCTTGTAAGTTAACTGGGGAAGTGTTCATAGTTTGTGTACAATATAGTTACCCTAATCTGCCTTGTAAGTTAACTGGAGAAGTGTTCATAGTTTCTCTCTACATACTCCGATTACTGGAGCGGTATTTTATTCTTATATTTCCTGTATAAAGGATCAATTCATGTAATATGATTAATCAGTTATTATTAAAGTGTATAAAATTTCAGATAGTAACCATGCTGCTACGTAGTGTTTTTAATGCTTTTGAACGGGTTATGCATCGTTCATGTGCATTTTATTTACGACGCTGTTTTATTCCATTTCCATCGGTCATCAGAAGAAATATGGAATCGGCAAGCAATAAAGAAATGGTGAAACAAAGCCAGTCAATTTTGGAAAAAGTGATATTAAAAGAATCTCAGACTACAATGCAGACAGGTATTTCTGTATGAATTCCGACTAAATGATATTTGCCGATGTCATTTAAATTGGATTATACACTGTACGGACTTCCGAATAATTGCCATAATGTAACATATTTGTCTAAATTGGCCACACATTTTGGCCATTGGCTACTGTAGCTGATCGATGAATTTTGATGGCTTGGTCTACCTTTTAGTATCCAATGAATATGTTTCACCATATTTAATATTATTCAGATATTGGAATTCTTGCATCATTTGTGGTTTTCAGTGAAGGAAAAGGCAACCAATGCATACCTGTACATCGTATATGTTGTGTCAATGATTGTAATGGGAGGTATGGCATATTTGTTGTATGAGGAAATACTCGCACCTGGAGCACCGCAAACAGTGTTTTCAAAGGCATTATCCTTAATCAGGAAGGATCCGAATTGTCTTAGATTATTAGGTGACTCAATTATGGGATATGTGGAAGGATCTGGACGAATGAAACAAGTTGAGCATCACATTTATAAAAAAGTAGGACTTTCCGCAGTTTTTTAAAATTGAAGATGTGAAGTTGTCCTTAGTTCCACTCATTTATTACTAATACATTGGTGCTTACTTCCGCATACGATTAATTTGTCGTAGGATGGAAATGATAGGACACGCGTGATATTCAACGTAAAAGGCACTCGACGCGAAGGTATTGCAACATGCGAAATGGAAAAGAGCGGCGGAATGTGGAAGTGGCGTTTTCTTATCGTTTTATCTACTGATCTTGTTCCAGAGTGTGTCGTTCTAATAGATAATCGTTGAAAATCATATCCTAAATAGTACATTTCCATTGTCCACTGACCTACTCCGTCGTGTAAGGGACTCAACTTTGATGCACATCCTACACTCGCTAGTGTAAGGAATAGCTAGACCGGACGGAAAACTTGAGTGTGTCGAGATGCCACTTTCCGCCCAGTCGCACTACCCTTAGTTTGGTCAAGGACATGCAATCTTCCTCAACAAGCAAGATGTCAAACAGACTGAAAGATCGACTATACCCCAGCTCTCTTCCTAAAAAATCGTTTACTTGTAGGAATAGAATTTGTAAAACGCGATTCTTTATCTTTGTAAAGCTTGGCATTCATGCCAATCACGAAAGTATCGAAGATTCTGAATCCCATAAAATGAAACACGCAAAACACTTCTAGAACTTTTGGAATGAATGAGAAAAAGTCATATTCACAGTTAACCATGACAACAAAAAAAACCAAGAATTATCGGATGACTTTTAAAAACAAAGTGAAGCCTAGCAAATTTCAGTTCATTTTTTCCAATTTCAAATCGTTAATGAAATGAAAGTATTAAAAAAACATGGATATTGTGATGCAAGATTAAATTCCAATTTCGAACCTAGTTCTATCATAAGACCAAATCTACATTTTGTCGCAAATTAATAAACATAGATACTGTGTAATTAATAGTAACAATGCTATATCGTCTAAAGGATTGCAGTGAAGCTAGCTGTGTAAAAAAAAGAAACTAGTATTAAATAAGTTATTTGAAATGAAGTAAGCATAGCAGACGATAAAACAGGAAGCCAGAATCCGCCCATATTAACCTTGCGCCAAGTCATCATTTGAGATACTCAAGAAATGTACAGGGTTGCAATAAAAGAAAAGGAACATCCATGTCAATAACACACTGACGGCAAAACTATTACTACTATGCTTGCTACGATAGAAACAACAATCAATGAATGTTAAAACCGCGCAATGTTGATTATCTTTCTCAGTAATTGACCAGTACTTCGGTAAGAATCGCACTAGTATATTATACTAGAAATGTATTAATCGCGCAATCCCAATCGAGTGTTGATGCTCTCCAAATATGCACAATGTAGGCGTGTTACAAAGCTATCGTCCTAAAAAGACGAACGTACAGCTCAGCCACTTTTAGATAATAACATCACAAACTGCTCAGACATCATATACGCATATATATATATGCACAGCCATTATTAAAATTCTTCATTAAAAGTAACTCATGTTTGATCTTATGTATGGTAAAAAGAACAGTTACGCTGACAAAATTCATATTACTTTGAACAGAACGAAAAGAATTTCCACATATGAAGACTAAAAACAACTTTCACAGGTGGAGTATTCAAACCTTCAATAAATGTTTTAGTGCCACCAACAACTGATCCTTTGTAAGAGAAACAACTTGCGAATTATCCTCAGACATACCATCATGCTTGTTTCTGCTTTTAGATCGGTGCTGAAAAAAAATAATAATAGTAAATTACTTCCACAAAATAATAGTAAATTACTAAAAATCATGTCTTTAAAATCGATCCGTACCTTCTCCACAACTTTTAAACTAGACGATGTCTTGGCAGCACAGAGAGACAGATTATTCACTAAATTCGTTAATATATCATTTTTTTCGTCCCCTTCAGAAGCTGATGCACATTTCCTAAAAATGCCCCAGTTTCAGGAAATAATGAATCTAGTGAATCCAATTCTATAAAAAACACACTGCTTCTTTGATGTTAAGAATTTTTTTTTCTTTTATTTTTTTTTGTTAAAAAAAAAAAGTCTTTTGAAGTGTCCAAATTTCGAAAGCAAAGCAAAAAATTACTCTGTTATTTTCGCACATGATTTTTCCGTCGACAACACAGCACCTTCCCCCCAAGCACCTCGGAGAAGAAGCTGTCTTTCAAACTGATCTGCACTCAGAGCACCTCTAGTAGGCACATCCGGTAATTTGGTGGTTGTTTGCTTCGAAAGCAATTGCTGCAGCAAAGCAGGCATCTCATCCAGTTTTTTACAGCGACTGTCTTCAATAAACCGAATAAGGCAAGAAGGAAAGAAAATTTCGTAAATTCTTCTATAAATTGTGATGAATGAATAAGAAAAAAGCCGATTCATCATCATGAGCTCTATGACAAGATCCTGCTGTTCTACCACTGAAATCAGATATACGGCTGTTGTAACATTTTATTCTGCCTTTTATTCGTCATCTGATCTCAGAAATAATGAAAGAATTAGGCAACGCTAGGCTTGGTGAAACAAGATGGCTAGTCCAAGAAAACAAGTAATATTAATCAAATCAACAATACTGTTATAAATCTATTTTAGAAATTAAATCCAAGGCTTACAAGAAACATTTGACTTTACCTCTTCCTGTAGTAGTATTTGAGTGTGCACCAAATCCATTTTGCGAATTAGCTGACACTGCTCTTTTTGAATCGTTGACAGTAGCAGATGTCGATGGATTCGATTCAGAGACAAGTTTGACAAGTAATTTATATAAACGCGTACAGTCGTCTTCATCATAGAACCAGAAACCTCTTATGTCACCTTCTAAAAACATACGTTTCAGGAAAATAGATGTGTAAAGTACGAAAAAAAAAACGATGCAATAAGTAAGGCAAAAAAGGAAGAATGACAATAAACAAGTCCGTAATGTCCATCGCACTACTGAATGCTAGACAGCAGCAAGATATGAATGACGCATATACCTTGAGTATTCATAAACAAATATGGAGTTTCAAGGAAGAATCGTAACGGAGGTGCGATCGGTTCGATATGATCTTCAAGAGATTGGCGGTTTGCAATCAATAATGAGTGGAGAGGCATATCAGCTCGTCTGTACAAAAATAACGGACCTTCGATTGCGGACTTCACCCACTGCGTCTTACATTTATCAAATTGGTACAGCGCTGCATGTACAGACTAAAAAATCAAATACTTTTAATTCCCTCCTAAACGAGAACAAATAACAAGGAAAATGGTGCTGGCAGGATTCATTCGCCTTTCTAGTGTATACGAGTTTACTACTCTTCCCTTCCATAACGAATTTGTTTTAGCAGCCTGTTTCATAAAAATTAGCTGCAATTTCAAATTAGCTTTAATTCTGTTGAAAAATCTCAGAGCAAAAACAGGTTTTGAATGGCAACATGTATAGGAGATTTCCAACCCGATGTAAACTGAATTAATAACCTTGTCAATGATTGCTACAGCACATGGATCCAGACGTTGTATGGATTTCAGATTCATTTCATTGATTGAAACAGGCCTCTTCTTGACAAGCATGGTGTCGCCCATATTTTCCTGAACCAACATAAAGCGATCAATACCCGTTATGAGGTAGTTATAACTACCAGCTTTCAACTTAGCATGTATTGAGTACTTGTTAGTGCAAAATCCGTATGTTATCGAATCTTGTTTTCAGACTCTGAAATCTCCAATACAGTTCATCGATTTCAATTTTAGATAACAATCAAAGCTCTAACAATTTTGTTTCAAGTGCATTCACAAATTCATTCGCGACATGACTGTTACAATTAGTAGGAAAAGATGACTAATCAAATCTACCTAAGATATGAATGCAATGAGCTGACCTTCTATATACCACAAATCCTAAAATGCCTGAAACGACTCAGATACGCAGATAAGAAACCTAATAAATGATAACTAGCACTAAATTATGTAAGCGAAAGTAATATCATAGAAACATGTAGATAATAACTGGTTCATCAATTCGTGTAGCATTATAACAATCTAATGGTAAGAATAAGCTTCTGAAACAATCCATGACGTCAGCCAATACAACAGTTTCTCTAATTTATTCTTCGGTTAGAAGAGCAGTAAATTGGAAAGAAAAGTTTATAAAATTGAGCAAGATACAGAAAAGATTTTAAATAAACAGATAACGGCGTTCATATTCCGGAATGTACCATATAAATCTTCCTCAGCAAATAGAACAAAATATTTTACTGATTTTCGTAACTCCTTCTGCACTTTAAGCTTAATCTAAAGTTTCTGGCAATATTCCCAATGAGAACAAATTTTAGGACTGGAAAAACTACGACCTATCACAGTTTCATAAATTGTAGAGAATGATCAATGAACAAAGTTGGCAACTGTCTATAAACTTACACATTCTAATCTATATGTTTGAAGATCTTTCTTTTTTGTCTTCCTTCCTCTTCCTCATCACTTGAGAATGATCTACGGATAAAACTGGTGATGATTCCAATCCCACACGTTTTAGGATTCTTTCTTTTCCTTTTCATTCTATATCCTTCTAACACGTATCCGATCTCATTCATATCCCATCAACGGAAAATCCGAGACTTCACTTAATCCTGTACACTCCATGCCAGTCCTAACTACACAATCACACCCATCCAACCGCTCATCGGCCTTTCACGTAACCGAATAATACAAATCAGGTAATGATTGGATTAAATAAACTACTATTATGACATCATGATTAGGCCTAGCATGAAATCAGCTAGTCTCAGCGATATGATGTAAAAAATAAAACGCGTAATGTGCTAGCCTTGTTCCATTATTAAATTCTAATGTTTGACTTCTTAACATTTTAAGCAACACATGCTCCAATCTGATTAGCTTAATGAGGACTCTCAAGAGACTAATCTAATGTCGGGATATGAAAATTGGCATCGATCGTTAATTTGGTGACATTACATATATATTTGCAATAATTAGCCAATTCCAGATCCTTTGTAGTTGTTTCATTTCGATACAATGCAGATACCACAAATGATCGTAGAACATTTTCTGGTTGACCGTTCCCGCTCAATTTGTTAGATTGAGGAAGGGGGGGCGGGGGGGGAGGGGGGGCAGAAATGAGCTGTTTGATATTCATGTAACTGTTGCATCCTTTGTCCTATAAAAGTTTGCCACCTCTTGTTATGGGCAGATCATTACATTTATTTGCAAGCATTTTGAGTTAATTATGTGATTTCCTTGCTAATAAAATTATGTGATTTCCTTGCTAATTTATATCCCACATAAAATGCTAAGAAAACAAATTAAATAAATCAGATGTTAATCTACTTCATAATCACGTTGTAAAATAACTGTATGCCTGTCAGTGTAATTTTTTTTAAAGTTCATCATGCATTATTGTATTACTAAATGCTAGTCTAGGTTGAAAAGAAAAGAATTTTTGCTTCTGGAGGTTTACAGGAAAATCAAAACAGAGGAAGCGTTAGATCCAGGAAACACTGAAGTGTTTCCTCGTAATATTTGAGATAAAACGAAGAAAGTAGACAACGATATTGGTAATGTACCAAAAGAAAGCAAAAGACACATTTAAGGGAATCGAATTCAACTGCTTTTAACGAAAATCTTGTGAAAAATAGCCACAAAATTTATTCAGATTGCAAACATTTGAATAATTAGTGACAGAAAACTAATAAAATGGCGTCATTTCGTCCTATCAGCATTCATGTGCCAATTAGTTTCTGAGCAACTGTGCCTACTTTCTTGTCACGCAGCCGTATCTGTCCATTTCTGTCTTATTGTGCAATAGGACCCATTCCTACCGCTGCGGTTGAACTGTGTGTTTGTTTAATACTATAGAGTCACTTTTAATGTTATTTGTGGAATGGTTTAGACTGATTGCACTATAACAAACTGAACACTTATAACTAATTTTGCATTTCCTTATTTTGCGTTCTGTTTGATGCACTGATATCCTGGGTAGCATTATGGATTAAACAATTTTCTTGTTTGTACAAGCATGCCAGTGCTTTGTAATTGTATTTTCAGGGTATCCATGGAATCACTTATTCCTGTTATCAACAAATTACAAGAGGTTTTTTCTGCAGTTGGCACTCGTGAGGCAGAAATACAACTGCCGCAAATTGTTGTCGTTGGCTCACAGGTTCACTATTTGAAACCACTGATTTACTTGGGAGTTTTGGATTCTTAATTGCTTTGCTGGTTTTTTGCAGAGTGCTGGCAAAAGTTCTGTCTTAGAAGGTATCGTCGGTCGAGATTTTTTACCTCGTGGAGCTGGTATTGTTACCCGACGACCGTTGATTTTGCAGCTAGTCAATGTACTTACTGATGATAAGGAAGCTAGAATTACTGATAATGGTACGCCTTTGACTTTTTGGTGTACGCTTAATTTATTCTCCTGTTGATTATCGTCGTGTTGCACTCATCGTTCCATGTGTTTAAAAAAAAAACATCAGGTATGGTAATACATGCAACTGATTGGGCTTTCTTTGGTCATTTGAAGGAAAAGATTTTCACAGATTTCGATGAAGTGAGGCAAGAAATCGAACTTGAAACGGAAAGAATCACGGGGAAAAACAAAGTAAAATTTTATTTCGTTCTGAACTAGAAGTAGTCATTGTTAATATAATTCCTTATGTGTATACGACTTTATGGTTTTTTTGTAGGGTATATCTGGAATGCCAATTAATCTTAAAATCTGTTCACCCAATGTAGTGAATTTAACGCTCATAGACTTGCCTGGAATGACGAAATTACCAGTGGGTGATCAACCTACTGATATTGAAGTGCGGATAAGTCATAATTTTCTTTTTTCAGCTGAAACAAATGCTAACAGTAGCCCCAATGATCTTGCTTTTTAAAACGTGACATAGTTTGTCTCAAATGCCACTTTTCTGCATATATTTTTATCTGAAAATGTTTTGCATAATCATTAGGCCAGTAGAGTTCTCAAGTATTTTCCCCTCTCCAGCAAGTGGAAGCGCGTTTTAATATAGGTCACTTTTTTTTTTTATTTTAAATGTCAGCTTTTTCAGGTCCTGTAGCGGTTAATTTCTAACTGTACATTTTCAGACCCAAGTTCGGGACTTAATTATGAATTATATAGGAAATCCAAATTCCATTATTCTTGCTGTGACACCAGCAAACCAAGATTTTGCCACTTCAGAACCACTGAAATTGGCACGAGAGGTCGATCCGGAAGGTAAAGTTTTGCTTTACTTATTATCACTTTTATATAGAGTCACAATCAACGCCTTTTTCTGTTTTTAACAGCTGACTTGAATTGTAGGTTGTCGAACGCTAGCTGTACTCACTAAACTTGATTTGATGGATCATGGTACTGACGCTATGGAAGTTCTTCTGGGACGTGTTGTTCCAGTAAAACTTGGCATTATAGGAGTTGTGAATAGGTTACTGATTTTCTATTCTTTTCGTCTTGGATATTTTGTAACGCTTTCATATCTTGCAATATGATATTAGCTGAGAAATTCTTTAGATCTCAAGCGGATATCATGAACAAAAAAACAATTGATGATTGTTTACGTGATGAACAGTCATTTTTGCAACGAAAATACCCTACATTGGCAAGCAGAAATGGAATTCCTTACTTATCGAAAACACTGAATAGAGTAATATATTGAATCTTTTTATGAAATCTATTATTTTGCAGCAATGTTTTATTTAACGAATTTCTGCTATAGTTTCAGTTAAAAAGAGAGTTTAATCTCGGTTCTGTTAAAGTTTTGTAATTTTTATTGACTGTTGCTACGAAGAGTGCTTCTCAATTATCCATGTTGAACAGGAAGTAGTATATATTTTTCAGTGTTGTTAGAAAAATGTATGTAGTACAATGTTTGTCAATGTAATGTAAGGTTTTTTTTTTTTCAGCTACTAATGCACCATATACGAGAATGTCTTCCACAGTTAAAAATGCGGGTAAATGTTCTTATAGCTCAATGCCAAACACTACTCAACTCATACGGAGAGCCTGTGCAGGATTATGGAAGTACATTGTTGCAAATTATAACCCGTTTTGCAACTGCTTACACTGCAACCATTGAAGGTACATCAAGGAATATCGAGACTTCGGAGTTGTTAGTTTTCCTTCTTTCCTTCTTTTTTCTAGATTAGTTCCTTCAGTTTTTTTTTATTATTCTTTTAATTAATAATACAGGTGTGGTGGAGCACGCATATGTTATATCTTTCATGAAACATTTGGTCGAGTCCTAGAATCAATTGATCCATTGAGTGATTTAACGCAGTTGGATATATTGACAGCAATACGTAATGCAACGGTGAGTCTTAGTTTTTAAAAACGAATAATGATAAACTTAGTTTTCATTGTTGATTTTACAATAATTTCCCACTAAACCTAACTTTCAACTAAAGCCATTGTGCAGGGCCCTCGGCCGGCTCTTTTTGTACCCGAAGTGAGCTTTGAATTATTGGTAAAAAAGCAAATTCGTCGATTGGAAGAACCCAGTTTGCGCTGTGTGGAACTTGTGCATGAAGAGTTGCAACGAATTGTACAACATTGTGGCATTCATACA